AGAAATAAGTACAGTAAGTAAACTACATGGACGAAGTGTCTATTGTCTAAGGCAATATTCTATTATTACTATTTCTACGTAGGATGGTGGTTGTCGGAAGCAAGGAGCAAATAGGCGCTCAGGACAAACAATGCCACACTTGAGTGGCGATCTTCGGAGAAACCGATAAGATTGATAAGGATTTCTCCGAGCGGCCCGGACGATTCTGCCCCCGTGTTCCTCCGTTGTATACGCGTTTGACGCGTCTTATTATGCGCTTGACACGTCTTATTAGGCCTCAAACAGCATAAACATATTATAGACATGCTTCCCCCCCTTATTCGACCATTATTAATTTAACAGACTCGAACTATTTCCTATTAACCGAAACTATTACAAACTATACAAACTTTGTAGTCTCAAAATTAGGCGCATATTGACAAGAACCAAGCACAGATTTACAAAAATACGGTAGTGTCGAAAATGCCGTGCGGTGCCTGTATTCGAATATTTTTGGCCAAGCACAAACTCGACATGTGGAATAAAACAGGCGGCCTGCCCTCCTCCAATTTGACACCAACGACATCGGGACCATACGTGTGCTGGAGGTAGGGGATCGTCTGGGCGTAGTGACCTTTGTGACGCGTGTCGGAGTGGACGTCTGGGCCAAGGACGACTAAACGCTCGGTTATCTCCCACAAGTGTTGCTGGAGGTCATCCTCCCGGTGCGGTTTGATGCACGTCCTGTCGATGGCATGCTTGGTGCCATGTTTCCCCACCCCAAAGACTTCGATTTTCTTGTCGATGATAGATACGGGGGCTGCCAGTAGGAGGTAGCCGTATTTACCTTCGAGGTTGAGCATTGTTTGCGAGACCCTTCCTGAAAGCTTCTCGACGCCAACCACTTGCACATCGATGCGTTTGTGCGCGAGTTTGGGTATGCACATCCATTCTCCCGTAATCTCCCCTGTGCGATCCACTTGAGTGACAATAAATTCAGTTGAAACTGAGCTTACCTTCTGGTTGGGGTGGAGCCCTTGAGTTAAGTAATTGAAGTGGAGGACTAGCCCCTAGCGCGCTCGAGTTGAGTGACAATATTTCGAAATTGAGATTAAAAGAGCTTACTTTCTGGTAGAGGACTCGAAGCCCACAGCGGCTCATCCGAAGGGCCGGGGCATGGAGTGCACGGTCGGGGCGGCGGTGGTTCGACCAAAAAAGCCCCTTGATGCGTGGGCACCTCTCGAGGCAATGCCCTGCCCATAAGTATATTGCGCGGTAAAAACCGCGCCTTCATCAAAGGCAACGCCGTACTGGAAAACATTTGAAAGACATCGAAAATAAAGGCAGAGAAACTTACAATTGATGGTAAACGGTCTCGATGGGAATGTCCTCCACTCTACGATTCGTCGCCTCTTCTCTAATGGTGACGAGAATGCCCTCTTGGTCCCACCACGGGTCCTTACCCTTCCTCCGCGTTTTTTCGAGTCGGGCGGCGTGCGCTGGGCTATCGTGATCCCCCACCACCATGCCGCACAACCTTTGTGCAGGGACTTGCCTCCCACGTGGACTTGAATGTACTCATATCTGAGACCGGTCTTCATCAATGCCAGCTTGGCCTCTGATTCCAGTAGAACAGAGGCTTTCGCAATCAATTTGTTCGCAACTGGTTCGACCACTTGCAGATGGCCAACCGAAGTCGTGGTTGTATACGCACTAGAACCTGCCGTGACTGCGGTCAGGTTGGCAGAATCGAAATCGGGGTCGACGTCTGCAGCGCGCACTTTGAACTGTTGGGTAGTCCTAAGTCAACATATTGCGCCACACAACCGCGAAGCAACATACCATGCCGGCGACTTCGCCTGGTATTTGGTTGTCCAACCCAACTTTGGTTCGGTCGTTCTAAAAATTGCATGATTTTGTCACCTCAAAGAGACAGCGGAAACGTACATACATCGAAAATCTCAAGAATCCCACCCACGCTTAAAGCGACAATGTCACCTTTCCCATCTTTGTGCTTGCCCCACCTCACCCGCACCGAGTCACCAAGGTACCACGCTCGACTGACATGCCCAACTCCAATGGTGAAGAGTTTGGTGTTGGGCAAGACTACGCTGGCGGTAGTTGGGCCCACCACGTCGGAATCGTTGGGTATCGAGATGGTGAGGCGGTCGTCCGCGACATCGACCACATGCCCCGTAGCACCCTTGTACAAAATTCCGGACACAACTTGAACACGGTCATTGACCAGAAATTTGTAAAAAAAGTTGAGCCCGGCGCGTTTGAGATGGGCAAGCTCGACGTAAGCGCCCTCGTCTTCCTTCTTAATCTGGTAGGCGCCGCCGTACCCAGGAGGCACTACCTTGGCGTATTCAATTCTATGGTGCTTTTGCCCGTTCCACATCTCGCGCAACACCGCGATGAAGCCCTTCATTCCTTTGTACTTGCCAGCTACAATGACTACGCAATCTCCCTCAGCAAGAGCCGGAGACGGCCCTTCAAATGTCAGTGCAAGCAAGGCACGATGAAGGCTGGCTGCGAATGGGACAAGTTGGTCGGGAGTGGGTGCGATGGAGGGATAATCCTTTCGTTTCATGAGGGGGCGGGATTTCTCCTTGAATTTCTTGTTGCCGACGACAACGTACAGCTTCGTCGCTGTGAGCACGAATGCTACCTTTCCGCGCGGATTTCCCCTCCGCAGACGAACCCAGGTTCCGGGTTCCACAGGTAGTTCGCCCTCTTCGGTGTCGCTGCAAGCAATGGCGTCTAGAACCTCCGAGCAGGTTATATGCGTGGCCGAGGTGCCTGCTGCTGGCCCACATACTTCCATCTGCGCCTCTCATTGATACTTCCCCGCCGTGCTCTCGTAGTACGCGACCAAGGCCAAATCGTTGTCATGATCACGGTCTTCGGGGAGGGAAGGGGGACGGACAGGGTTGTCATTCTGCGGCTGATCGTCCAAGAACTCTGGGAGATTTATTAGCACATACCTTTGTCTGAGAGGGTCGCCTCGTCGTCCTCGTCCTCCTCCGGCTCTCCATTTTCGTCAGAATTCTCCGCCGCCATGTCGAGCAGTTTTCTGATTCGCCGAGGAATGGACTTGTCGGGGCGAAGGAAGCGGCGACGGAGCGTTTCTTCGTCCTGCTCCTGGTCATTGTCGCCATCATTGTCGCCATCATCGTCGCCATCTCTCTTGTCATCTCCATCCGAATCCGACCCGACACGTCTGCGCTTCCGAGGCGGCTCAAGGGATGTGGGTAGAGATGGCTCGCACATTCGCTGTAGGGTATTAATATAATGGCCAGGGAAGTAAGGAAGAACCAGACTTACGCCCATACCATGCAATATCATTGGGGTGAACTCACGCCCGGAGTAAGGAGTAGGGCCCCGCGATCCTGGCAAAAAGAGCGGTGTCCGCTGCGGCGGAGGCATGTACACAGGGGTAGGCGCACGGGAACCAGATTCCGTGGGTTGCCAGGCAGGTGGCGGCATGTACGCCGGGGTAGGTGCACGGGAATCAGATTCCGAGGGTTGCCAGGCAGGTGGCAGCATGTACGTCGGGGTAGCCGCGCGAGAATCGGATTGCGGGGGGGTTGCCAGGCGGGTATGGGAGTCGGCGCTCGAGAGGGGAGATTGTATTCCAAATCTAGATCTTCTCCACGCAATGGTGTGGCTGCGCCAGACTGCAGGAGCGAAGTGGGAATTCGATATGGCGCAGAGGAGCGCAGCCGGTCCTCGTGCCCGGTTAGGATTTCCGGCATTTGAAAATCGCGCTCGTCGGCTCACTGTATGTGCGCCTCGTATGAGTCTTCATCTTCTTCGCCGCTGCTGTGGTCTGCACCGTGGGCAACGCTAGCGCGGTTGTCGATGTACATTGGGCGTGATCTAAGTGATCGTCGTCGTCAGCGTCGGCAACGAACAGTCCGCAGCAATCTAGTGCATTATTCTCTTTTTATTGCCGCACCCGTGCAACAGCGCCGCCAGGACGACACCGACGACTACCCCTAACACGAGGGGTACTACCGCAAGGACTCGCAGCGCCCACTCCGACGCTCCCACTCCCGCTCCCGCTCCCCTCCCCACACTGAGTCATCGCGCTATTACCGACGCTCCCGCTCCCCGCGCGCTGAGTCGTCGCGCCACTACCGTCCGCGCCACTCACGCTCGCGTTCCCCTACCCGCGCCGGGTCGTCGCGCCAGTACGTGGGCAAGTACCATGACGGTTACTCCTGGGGTACGAACTCACTGCCCTGTGCCAGATCACCCCCACGCGTCCCGCAACGGGCCAAGTCCTCACGGCCCCGCAACGATGACACGCCTCCTCACCCACGCCCCGACAGCCGCGCCAGGTCTTCGCGCCCCCACGCGCAGCCGAAGGTGACGCCGCCCGTCCTGCCCTGCCTCGACCTTTCACGGGTATACACGGTAGCTGCTCGTGTGGGCGCTGCTCATCGCGACGATCGCGCGCAAGGCCCGGACAAGGACCGCGGCGCTAAAAGGAAGGCGCCACACGACGATGGGCTGGAGGTGTCAGACAGGGACTCCAAGCGCCACCGCGGGACAGAGGATGCGCCGCCCCTCCTCAAATGCCGGATCATTGTGGATGACAGGAGGGGGGGCACCTTTTTCGCCACGCATGTGCAACAGGTGGACGAACCCGCCCGCGGCGACGGCTACTTCTTCGTCCACATTCCGGAACGACGTGTTTGGAAGCAGCTCAGGCCCAATGAGGCCCCGGTTCTCGCCACAGAGGAGGACCGCATACGGTACGCAAAGGAGCTTGAAGACTTGGGTCTCTAGACTGAGTAGTACACTCGGACTCTACTTTGTTATCTTTCTATGATTATGTTTCTATGTCATATGTAGCTCCCTACTCCCTACTCTATGGTTTATGCAATAAAGTATGATTATGATTATGAATGACTACGGGCAGGGCGCAAGTCAGGAGATGAGAACATTTTAAGATTTGCCAAAAAGGAAAAAAAAAAAAAAAAAAAAAAAAAATCGATATGAAACAGGACAAATGGCCGTAGCAGGATTCGAACCTACGAGATTTGGTTAATAGGAAGAGCTATCTGTAGGGTATTATCCAAAGGTGTTAACCACTCCGCCATACATCCGTTACACATGGCGATACCAGAGTAGCCACAACCAAGGAATATGACTATATCGGATTAAAGCCGAGCTTTCAAGGCTAAATAAGATTAATTGTAGATAAGCTTGACAAAAATAATGCTGGGTTATCTTCAATAGAAAATAATGATTGATTGTATTGCAGACATAGATTTCTAACTTGTTTTTGGGACGTCCAACTGGAAGACTTGGCCAGACAGTAAACAATGATGAAAAATTCAACATGACCACAGTATGATTCAGCACATGAGTGGTGGGTGCATAGTACGGTACGGTATAACAACAACAAGATGGTAAATGACAGAAATTTGGATAAAAAAACCAGTCACGCTGGGTGCCCAATTGAATTTACACAATTGTAACACTCTCGAACAGTATCATAAACGGTCTGCGTCTAATGTTTAGTGCTTTTTGTTCTCAATCCTTGACGTGCGCCGTGCGCTCCCCTTCAGGTTGTGCACTGCAGCAGCGCACGTCTTCGGATTCCGTTATTCAATGTCCTTTATATACCTACGCTCTGCCGACCCACCTCGTGGGCACAGTGTCATGCATGCCCTTTGGGGCGTCAGCCTCTGACACCAGGAGACCGGAATCAGGGTTAAGGCCCACATTTTTCAAGCCCGAAATCCGGCTCTAGGGAACCACCTTTGTCCTCCAGGGGTATTGGACAACTGAAACACTTACTTTATGAGTAAATTGGCTACCATGTTGAAGCCGTTCAAAAATTCTCAAGTGCAGAGGAGAATAATGTGTCGCATTGAGCAAAACACGTTGAGTCTTAAGTGAGTCCGTGACTCATGTGATGGCATTTGCGTGCCTTCGGCACCAGGCATTCAACATGACCACGGTATGATTCAGCACATGAGTGGTTGGTGCACAGTACAGTATGACAACAACAAGACGGTAAATGACAGGAATTTGGAACATCTCATGTGTATTGGAAGTGGGACAGCCCACAGTTTTTTTAGCTGGTGGGATGTCCCACGCTCATTTGGACTTGTATCGTGGGATATCCCCATAGTTTTTTTTTGAAGGTGTGGGACCACCGGCTCGTCAGCACCACCAATGACCGCCGGCCTTCCGGATGCCATTTCGCTTGTGACCAAGCACGGGACATTTGACGATCACTCCAATCACATGATCCTAGTCAGCAGCTAATTATACCCACGGCTGGCATGGGAATCCTCAGAGTTTCTTCTCTTTGGATCCCCCACACCAGGTACGCTTCTTTGTATATTTAGCTACTTTCAATTAATCTTTGGATCCCCCACGCCAGTCCCTGAGTATCTCAGGCTTCCGCAATTGCCCTTACAGCAGAAGAAACTCTCTAAGGGATCAACCGGCCAAGATTGCTGGCTTTGGTGTGAACGGCTCGGACTCTGACAGTCCTTCAAATCTTGCCCCCTCCTCCCCGCTCTCGATTCCCTCCATGGATGCTGCAAGCGCTGCCACAGCCACTGCACAAGCGGCGGCCGAGCATGCCTCTGCTCACTTGGACAGGCTCGAGGGTCTCATCGAGCGCCTTGTAGAAAAATCGACAAACCCCGTGCCGACTCGCCTGCCCCGTCCCTTGCCGATCCGGCTCTGGACCTGGGTACATCACGAAAATGTGGGAAACTTTTTATGCCCTGTTATGGTTCGCCATGCCGGATGTGGATGCCAAGGCCTTGCAAGGCTTGGCGGAACTTAGGGCGCCAGCTGTTTTTTTTTTTCTTCTTTTTTTTTGTCCGTTTTCAACAATATCATTGGTGTGAGCTCAAATCTCAGCCGATTTGCTTGAAAATATAACCAATCAATTTGCATGGTGAATCCGGAGGGCATCTCGTGCCGGTATTTTTGATAGTATCGTCTAAGTTACCATATATGGAAATTTCGGTGTTTTCATACATAGTGGCTGTAGCGCTGGAGATATGGCCCCAGGAAACTTTGACTTTTGTTTTGAAACACTAATGACCATTCTGGAGGGCATCTCGAAGCCAGAATTTGTTTGTGACTGCCCCATGGCATAAACAATGTGCTTCAATTATATGATGGATTTGACTACCCCTTTTGATTCACTGGAGGGATTAGAAACAAATTCTGGCTTAGAGGTGCCTTCCAGAATGGTCATTAGTGTTTCAAAACAAGGGTTGAAGTTTGCCAGGGCCATATCTCCAGCGCCACTGCCGTTATGTATGAAAACACCGAAATTTCCATATATGGTAACTTAGACGATACTATCAAAAATACCGGCACGAGATGCCCTCCGGATTCACCATGCAAATTGATTGGTTATATTTTCAAGCAAATCGGCTGAGATTTGAGCTCACACCAATGATATTGTTGAAAACGGACAAAAAAAAAGAAAAAAAAAAAAACAGCTGGCGCCCTAAGTTCCGCCAAGGGCTGTAAGCCTATGCCCTTGCCCTTGCCCTTGCCCTTGCTCTCCCCCCTAGTGCTTTCTTCTTTTTCTTCTTCTTCTTCTTCTTCGCCTTCTCATCCCCACCCTCCTGCTCCCCTTCTTCCCCATGTGCCTTCTTCGCTTTCTTCTTCTTCTTCTTCTGTGCACCCTCTTCCTTGCCATCACCCCCGCCCTCCTCCTCCTCCTCTGCGTTATTCTCGCCACGCTTCCGCTTCTTCCCTGACACCTTCTCCTAAGCCTTTGCTGCATCCCGCTGTGGCTTCCACATCTTATCCTAGTTCTTGGCCTGCTTCAGCTACTTCTTCAGCAGGGCGGTGTGTTCATCGGAGGGGACATCTTCCCATTGGCAGGGCTTGTTGTGTATGAGGTCCCATGGGGCGTCAAGCCCGTCAGCGCCACCCGATCCCATCTTTGATGGTGGAAGAAAGGGGACAGACATTGGCCAGCCAACAAGCTCAACCACCATGCCGGCACAGATGTGCGACTCGTACTGCACATACTGCATGTCGACTGGGCCCATCCCAAACATCAAGCCTGTTGACAATTAGTACCAAATCACAAGTAATATATGAATAAACATACCGAGACCTGCTTGGATCATTTCCACGACCTCAGTGCGCTTATCCTGCCCCTTTTCCAGCTTCCCATCGCCTATCAAGCAAGCCCAGCAATTGAATTGGAGTGGGAGAGTACCAGCAGGCATCTTGAGGATCTCCGGAATGAATTGGCAGGAGGTGGGGGAGCCGAGGATGGCAGGGCAAATGCTGTCGTTCACATTTGAGCCCGTGATGACAAGGAATGCACGGTGTGGCAGGGCCAGCGAGCCGGCATGTGGAAATTAAGTATAATTAATTATTTCTCCATAGAGTAGTTTACCCAACTTTGTAGTTACCTACTTAGCTTGGCGTCAACGAATGGAGAAAGGGACTCTTTTCTCTCTCGTACTACCATCGTCTGACCCAATGCAGCCAAGTAGCTAGAGGCAGAGCGGCTCCTCGACCTATACAGTGTTTTTGGTCACTGTGGGCTATTTAGCCATCCCTCGTATCCTTTCGGCATTGTCTATCGCTACCCTCACCACCACACTCTTTTTCACCCTATCAACACACTCTTTTTTGCCACCTTTTTCGTTCCACGGGCCGACACCAATCTCGCATTTTTATTCAACACTTCATACTACGGTTCTCGACCACTAACCCCTCTCATTGAACCTCCCACCGGGAACTTAAGCCTATTTCAACGGGTGCCTGTACGCCTCTCCAGGAGTATCAGCTATTTAATTTTAAAAAAGTGAGTCAGCACTCTTCATGGCTTCCACTCACCTCTTCAAACATACGGTCGCCTGTAAACGTGGCGTCTTTGGCAGCAGCAGCATTGGACATCCGCGTGCCCCACTCTTTTGCGAGCTGGTGGGCCTCAAAGTCCATCTGGAGCTGCTTGAGCTCTTGGGCGGTCCAGGTGTCGGGGGCTCATTGCGGACAATTTCCTGTACCTCTTGAAGACGGAGACATTCACCCGGGCCTTTGCCTATTTGAAATGTCAGTTCCACTCCCTATTTGACCCTGCATCCTTACCGAAATTTAGTTCTGATGTCCGCCACCAAACCTTAGCATTGAACTTGTTATAGGCGTGTTTTTTCTTGAATTTGCTCGCGCTAGCCATCGCAGCGTGCACCTCATCCAATGGGAGGCGGAACTTCTCCACAAACTCTGCCGCCTTCTTATCAACTTCAACATTCCACAGTCCTACCGCCTCCTTCAGTTCGATGCACCTTGTGGAACTGAAGTGTGTTTGTCACCGCAGTCCCCTTCTCCTTCCCATTTTTCTATGGCGGCACCTCTGGCTGCTGAGGCTGATTGGGATTTTGTTTGTGGTGACTGCTCAGATTGTGGAGGACAATCGTGCTGGGATTTTGCTGTGGAAGCGGTGGAGAACCCTCCTTCTCGTCGTCGTCGTCTGAGGTGGGGGAGGATGGCTTCCTGTTTGGCTTGGGGGAAGGGGAGCGTCCAGGTGGTGCGTTTCCCTGTTCGGGGGAGGAGGAGCGTGCAGGGGGTGCATTGTCTTGTTCGGGCGAGGAGGAGCATTGAGGAGCCGTGGAAGAGGAGCGTGCAGGTGGGGCAGTAGGGGGCTTAGATGGCACCTCATGCTGCACAGGCGAGGTTGACTCCTGTTCAAGTGTGGGCATGGGCGTGGGCAGCTTGGGCGGCGCCTTGTCCTGCAGAGGGGAGGGTGACTTGCATGGGGTCGACTCGGGCAACTCCTGCTCGGAGGCGGGTGTGGGCAGCTTGGGGGGTTCATCCTGCACATGGGAGGGCGCCACAGGGGAGGGTGGTTTAGGTGGCGCTGGCACCTCCTGCTCATGGTTGTCATCATCGCTGCTCGCACTATTGGGTGCATCGAGGTCGAAGTCGGCCATGTCAAACATGTCCGAGTTCGCGTTCAGAAGCGCGTCCACATCGAGATTAAGTGCGTCTGTGGCGTCCACCTTGAGGTCCAGCGTGCCGTCCCCAGTGTTGTCGCCGTCAAGTTGATCTTCCTCTCCTGTTGGGATATTGTAAGTATTTTTCTCCCGTATACTGGCTTCAC